CAAGATTTCATTTGTCGTGTGAAATATAAAGTTAAAGCTATATCTAAATGTTTAAATGGTATAATAACATATAAACATTTAGAGGTAACATGTAAGTTAAACAGAAAATTATTAAGTTACCATGTTAAAACAAACGTTAGAGGTACAATACATAAATTAACGTATTACAATCAAATATAACTTGTAACAAAATCATCACATCTAGAAAATGTTAATGTTCCGACGAAAAAGAACATAAAAGTTAACTGATATCAACTATGTTATCGTACTAAGCTAAAAGTTAGCAGTTAACCTACATATTTACATAATACAATAATTTTTAACATGCTACAATAACATGTAACTTGTTACAACTAAATTTTTTTCGTTTTTAAATAAACAAGAAAGGAAAGAGAGAGACGGAGAAAGGAGGGTTATATGGTAATTAACATTCCGACCAAACACTGTAGAGATAGATTTACGTCTTGTCATTCCTATTCAGCTAATTTTGACCAAGTTTTGGTATTTCTAGCAAATTGACTCTATATTATATCCCTAAATCAAAGATTCTCGTATATATCGTATATTCTAATACAACTTTGGTTAATCACTCATAGAAAAATAAAAAGTTAACCTTTATTTTTGAAAAATATAATTAAAGAATTGCTGGAAATTAAAATTAGTTAAAAATTAACAAAAAGAAAGAAAAAACAAACTAAACACGTTGGTTATTATTTTTTTTTTCAATCTCTAATACATTTCTAATACATGAAATTTTCCTTGATATTGAGTTATATTTTGAGTTATGAATTTTACAAAGGTTATAACTCAAACTCAAATTCAAAAAATAAAAACTAATGCATGATTGGTAACATTTTGTGAAAAAAAGATTGGTAACATTTTTGATGTGTGTCTATCAGGGCCGGCCCAAAGCCATATGATGTCTGAAACTTAAAAATGATACCTTTAATCAGAATAATTTTTTTTACATCATATTTTTTAAATATATAATTAAAATAATTTTTGGAATAAAAGGACAAACAATTTTATTTAAAAAACTCGATTTTTAAGGTCTAAAATTGATTTTTTTAATCTTAAAATTGATTTTTAAAAGCCTGAAATCAATTTTTAAAAACAAATTGCTGAATTATAATCAGGCCCAATAATAGGCTCAGAGTTTCTATAAGAAAAAGAGTGGATAATGACTCTTATTTATAATACAATTTTTTCTTTCCATTTTTTTATTTGGGCGATGTGAGACAAAATTAAAACATATTTTTTTAAAAAAAAAAATTTGGGCTTTTTTGATATCCCAAAAAATCAACATCTTTTGCTGTCCGGAAACCCTTGCTTTATGGGTTTTAGGGCCAGGCCGACCCTGGTGTCTATAACTCAAACTAATGCAAGTGTAACTTATGTCACCAACAAAAATAAGTAAATTATGTAGACCCATTTTCCAGTTTTATGTATTACAAAGTTTGAACCTTATAATTTAAGTTTTCTTCCAAAGATACATAACTCGAACTCTTTGGCTATAATTGGTAGCACCAACCGCTTAGTTGGAATAAGCGGTTGGAGAAACGCTACTATTCAGAAAAGGCGGTTGGAGATAGTGTTTAAAACCATGGTTGTAACAAGCGTTTGAAACAGATGGTTGGAGGACGATTCAGGCGGTTGAAGGTTAATTTTTGGACCGTTACAAACCGACCAAAAATAGGCGTTTGGAACAAACGAACGATTGTAACCAGAGTTTTTTTTTTAAATGAAATTTATGGTTTTGTTTTGTTGGCTTTTTATATTTTGTATGTGTATGTATGCTTTTTTTTTAACATTCAATTCAGACAAAAATAAAAGAATCATAAAATTGATGTGTTTGTAAATTACGTGAGTCAATAAAAGAATCAGAAATTAGTTGTGCATTTCAAAATTATTAATACTTTATCATCCCTGATATTTTTTTAAAACAAAAGAATATAAAATTTGTTATGCTTTTTTCTAACAAAAATTGTTATATATGTATATTCATTTTCGTCGACAAAAGAATCAGAAATCAATTATACATTTTAAAGTTATCAAAATTTATTTTAGAAATAAGAATTATAATCTACGTTGAAATTTTAAATCATAAAATTTATTATTGCATTATTTTATAAATAATTATTCAAACAGATTAGTAATTTTATATATAGTTATACTATTCAACCATTATAATATTATCAATCAAGTTTAATCGCATTCTGATATCAAACCATCTTTTTCCAACCGCTATCTCTAATCGTCTTTTTTCTAACCGTCTTTGCTACAGCCGCTTAAAATTCTTAACTGCTTTGTTTAAACGTGGTCACCAATCTGTGAGAAATTTCAAGAAACATCTGACGTTCAAATCCAGAAACATGTGCCAAACACATTTACCGGTATGGTTACGTCTGGTTTACCAGTTCAATCATTAAGCCTATACCAAAAAAAAAAATTGTTTACAGTTTTTGGAAAAGATTTTTTTTTTCTCAAAACCATTTATTAACCATTCAAATTTTTGAATTCATATAATTTTTAAATTTTAGGGAAACTAATTTTTCAAAATTTTTACATTTTCTAAATAAAAATCAATAACCACAATTTATGATAGTTGAGAAAACTAGTGATTTAACAAACCAATCAGGTAAATTTCGTAATGGTTTTTTTGCTAATTTGTATGTGTGATCTCATATGAATATTCTTTCAAAGCGTGTGTTCACAATTTATGTTGTTTTAAATAACTTAGATGATTCTAGAAGTCTTTTGTCTGACGTCACAAATTCTCAATGTTTGTTATCCACTCTATGTACATTATAAACAGCTATCAGCACAAGTTAGTTTATATTATACTTTTCTATCTTTTTCATTAACAGTTATGAGAAGCCGAACGAGATCTCAAACAACAACTCAAAAAAATAAGGGTTTAGAAACGTATGGAAATGAGAGTAATGATTCCAGATTGCGACCACAGAACTCCAGATCGAATGTTATTAAAGAGCATCCTCAAGGTATTAGTATGATGTTGTGTACCTTGTACCTTTTAGAAATTATTGTACATTATTCTTTACATAAAACTGACCGAAATTTTTTTAAATTATAGCTTATCGAAATAGATATGAGGCTCACAGCGATGAAGAAAATGATGAATATGATGAAAATATTAATCCTAATTATGACGAAGGTGAAACTTCAGGAATTGAAATGGAAGTTGATAACGTGTAGGCAGATTTGTAAATATACAATAGACAACCGTTCCCAATGTGGTTGGATCAATATCAAGATTTCAATTTGGCGTTCAACCAAATAGTAAATATCAATAATGTATATTTTGTTATTAACTTATTTTCATATAGAACACTATAATGTGAATTATTTGTTGGCGGAATATTATGATGATGAAAATCCCTCATTCGAATGTGGACACTGTGGAGTTTATTTTTGGTATGAAGAGCGGATAGAAAAATTCAGGAGATAATTGATACCCATATTCACGCTTTGCTGTAAGCAGAGGAAAATTGTCCTCCCTAAACTTAGAAATTCTCCGATGGAGTTAATAGAATTGTTATGCAAAGGGGATGCGTTGAGTAAACATTTTCGTGAGTTCATTAGAGCATACAATATGATGTTCTCTTTCACGTCATTAGGCGGAAGAATAAACTACGCCATTAGCAATGATCGTGGTCCGTATGTTTTCAAAATGAATGGAGAGAATTATCATCAAATTGATGATATGGTGCCAGACGTTGACGAGATGCCCAAATTTTTGCAACTCTATATCCATGACACTCTTAATGAACTATACAATAGAATAGCTGCTTATGGGTATGTATTATATTCATTTCCTAATACTTTATTATCATCTAACTAAAGACATAATATGTGCATAATGTTTTTTTCTACATATATTTGTAATATTCTTAGGACTATATGCGCGGAGACAAATAATTTTATGTATATTGTCTTGGAAATATTGAAGAAAATGCTAGATAATGTCAATCCATACGTCAAAGTATTTAGACAAGCTAGATATAGATATGAGGCTAATGGAGGGGTGACGTTCAAATTGAGGTTGATAGAAGGAAGATCTGCTGATGGAAGAACTCATAATATTCCTACTTCGGAGGAAGTTGCAGCTTTGATACCAGGTGACTTTGTTTGGAATATGGAAACTAAAGACATCATTATTGAGTCCAGTACGGACAGAGGATTTCAAAGGATTAGTGAATTACATCCTGCATACATTCCTCTCCAATATCCTTTATTGTTCTCATATGGAGAGGACGGTTTCCACCTGAAGATTCCAATTGCGTATGACGAAATGGAGGCTAGGAAACGTAAATCAGTAACAATGCAAGATTTTTTTGCATTCCAGATTTGTGAGAGACGATCAGATAGACTTTTTCAACAGTTTCTTGTTGATGCGTATACCATGATAGAATCCAATAGACTACGTTATTTGTGGTTCAACCATTAATTATTCAATGATTTAATACTTTCCAAAAATTAAATTTGATATTTTAAATATATTCAAGGTTTTAATAGGTCGGGTAATTAAGATCCACATGTTTTTAATTGGATCGGATCAAAAGATATATGTGTTTATACCTTTTTAATCAACATAATATAAATATAATTAAATATTTTTTTTTAATTTCTCTCTCTATTATTAAACAGAAACCAATTAGAATTCTGCACATAAGGTCATTGTCATGTCATATTTGATGTAGAATAAACGTTATCAATAATGTAAACAAGGATTTCGCTTTAAACTAATTAAATTAAAACAAATCAGATTTTTTATTAAATTATATTCTTATTTAATATATAAGATTAAATTTTTACTGATTTTAAACACAGAAAACAAAAATCAAAAATTAAAAAACATAAAAACGTTTTTTAAAATAATTACTGAGAAAAAACCAAAAACTAAACATATTATACCATTAATATTTTTTTTTTTAAAAACCAAAATCTACAGAAAAATCAAAAACCAAAACCAAAAATTAAACAACATTGGCCTAGATCTCCGAGCAGACTGTGCATTTCGCCGGCGAACTCAGGGTGTTCCTTCCTATTCCCCACCGTAAAATTCTGTGCGCTATTTCCCCGGGGAACATACGGTGGTTTCGTCTTATTCATTCTTCCTCACTCGCCGTCATCTCTTGCTGGCAAAAAAAACCTCCGAAGGTAATTTCAGTAGCTTTTTCTGGAGATCTTTAGTTAGATTTCTGCTAGATTTTCGACCGATCTGATAACTATATTTGATTTGGTCAATATATTTTCGAGAATAATTTGATTTGCATGTGAAATCTCTGACTTTTTCCTCTGGAAATTAGGCATAAGACATGGAAGACGAAACTTCTATCAACGCGAACCAAAGGAAACTTGATAGGATAAGCAATTTACCAGATTCGCTGTTATGTCAGATGCTCTCTTACCTCTCCACGAAGGAATCGGTTTGCACAAGCATTTTATCAAAACAATGGAGAAGTCTCTGGTTACATGTTCCCGCATTGGAATTAGACTCCAATAACTTCCGATACGATGATGTCTTTGTGAGTTTCGTAGAAAGGTTTCTGGGTTCTGAAAATGGGCAACATTTGGAGAGATTCAAACTGATTTATGATATTTATGAGCATGATGCATCTCGTTTCAAGACTTGGATCGATGCTGTGATTAGGCGTAGAGTTTGCCATCTTGATCTTCACAATGAGGTGGATGATTATGAGCTGTTTAAGATGCCTCAATCTCTCTATTCTTGTGAGAGATTGGTGAACTTAGATCTCTACCGTGTATTCTTGGATCATCCTGTATCTGTTTCGTTGCCTTGTGTCAAGATTATGCGTCTTGATATGGTCGAGTACGATTCTGATTCGACTCTGGAGACACTAATATCAAGCTGTCCTGTTCTCAAAGATTTAATGGTCCGTGATGCCAACGACTCTCTAGACCTTGTGTGTGTGTGTTCCAAGTCGCTAGAAGTCCTCAATATAGAGTGTGAGCGCTACGAAATTGACGGTCATGAAGTTGAAATCGATGCTCCAAGACTTGAGTGTATGACTCTCAGGGATCACAGATCTGACAGCTTCATAATACACAATATTGCTCCTTCTGCAAAGGTGGTCATTGATGTTTTTTTTAATGTGGAATATGGTGATGTACTGGATCCAGAAGATACTTCCAAGATAACTATGATCAGTAACTTTCTCACCGGTTTATCTACAGTCAGTGACATGGTCATCTCTGTTGACACTCTAGAGGTATATTATATATGGTTGATTCAATAGTATTCAGCTTGTACAATTTCTTTATCACATTTCTCAGTGAACCCATGTTTTCTTTTGTTTTCTCGCTGCACAGGTTATTCTTGATTACTGCGAAATCGAAGAGCTACCTCAATTCTCTAAATTGTCTCGTTTGCATGCTGGATTCAGAGAAGAATTCTGGGAAATGTTGCCAACCGTCCTTGAGAGCTGCCCAAATCTACACTCTCTCGTTCTGGTGAGTTTCCATTTGCTCACATATGCTCTCATGTAAATCACACTGTCATTTATGATGATACCGAAAAACTCAAAACTTCCCCTCGGTTATATGTTATCAGGAATTTAATCGTCTTCAAGATACGGAGCAGATTGATTTTTCAGATGTGCCACAGTGTGTCCAATCATCTCTCGAGTTTGTTCACATTAAGACGCCGTTCGTTGAAAGCATGCAAAAGGAAGGGACACCACTCACCAGAGAATCAAGTATGATGAAACTAGCAAAGTACTTTCTAGAGAACGGTGCAGCTCTCAAGAAACTGACAGTAAGTGCAAGTTTTTGTAACATCATCAATGAGATCAAGTCGATTCCAAGAAGATCTAGGAGTTGTCAGGTTGTCATAAATTAGTTTTTTTTGGGGGTAAAAACAACTATGGATTAGTGTTTTTTGGGTAAAAAACAACCATGGATTAGTTGTCATGGATTAGTGTTTTTTGGGTAAAAAACAACCATGGATTAGTTGTCATGGATTAGTTGTCATGGATTAGTTGTGCCAACCTGACATAAATCTCTGTTGGGTAAACCCTGAAACCAAAACCATTATCACAATGCAAGAGTTCTGGTACAGCACTGAACTCGTGAAATTGACATTGACAGTGTTATTTACTTTTCACCTAAGACACTGAATTAACTCGAACTCTTAGTTTCTGTGAGGAATTGAACACTGGAAAAAATGATTTTCAAGACCAAAACAACAAATCAATAGGATTAATGATGAAGAATTATAGATAAATGAGGATGGAGAGTATAAAGAGGACACGGACAGGCAGATACTTTTTCATTTCACTTCGCAAACTCATTTCTTTGTACTTTTAAACTCCTTTGAAATTGTTTTCATCTCTCTTTTACATGTGTTGATATTTGTTTTGTTTCATCGCCAATCTTGTACTCGGTTCTTTGCTTATTATAAACGAAACTCGATCCTTATAATATACTGGATTCTTGCATCCACAATAAGCAAACACGGTAGCATTGAATCCCTCAAAATCCATGGAATAAAAGGGTTTGCTTCTCTATCAAATATTGGTGAAAAATTCATTAATAGATTACTAGTTTCAAATTTGAGTTAGTAGTGATACCGACTTGGTCTATTTGAATTTGCTATGTTCAATTTTTTAAATGATCTGTTATTAGGCCCACAATCTCTTACTGTTTGAGCTAGCCCTGGGCATAAAACCCAGATCCAAAGAACCCGACCCGACCCGACCCACCCCGAAAAACAGAGTTCGGGTCGCATTTGGTTTTAGTGTTAAACCCAATAGGTTTCTGTGTATATTAATTTCGGTTCTAAGTTCGGTTTGGGTGAGAACCAAAAACCACCCGACAAAAATATATATCATATATATTATATATATATAGTTACATATTTACAGTTTTTCTTAATCGCTCCCCGATATTGCCGGTTCCACTTTCCATCTTCATCAAAACTTGACTATAAACTCAAATTAGACAATTTGGAAGCATTAATCGGTCTATCTCGTCGTTCTCCTCGTTCATCTTCGTCGAGAGTCCAGTCGCAGGTAATTCTAATCCCTTTCAAAAAAACCATTTCTTTATCCAATCATGATTTTGATAAAATTGATTCCCTATTTTTTAGGAAAACTAGTTTTTCAAATAACTTCTGCAAACAAAAACTAAAATCTACTCTTTAGTAGTTTTTATGTCTGAGGTTTTTGTTTAACAATAAATATATATATATATTAATTTAATTATTCTTAGCCATTAGTATATTTTATACATAAAATCAGTAGTCTCATACTATACACACACAAAAAAATCTCATAATCTTGTGAGTTAATTTAATACAAAATAAAATTATTTTATTAATAAATTTATATACTCAAATTAAATTTTTACAAAATAAAATTATTTTATTAATAAATTTATATATTCAAATTAATATTTTTAATACATGAATCAAATCTCATATGCATTTATGTATATAATGTGCTTGTTTTTTCTAACTTCATAAAATAGTCTATGTGCGTTTTTATTTAAGTTCCTATTTATAAATTTTTTTGAGTTTGATATATTTATTTTAGTAAAGTTTTAAGCATATGAAAAAAATGAAAAATAAAAACTAGAAAAATACGTTTTTAAAAAAAAGAATTGTAGACAAAAAATATAGAAAATATGTTTTCTGAGTAAAAAAGATTATATATTTATTTTAGCAATTTTTAAACACTTTAAACAAAACAAAAGGGGTTTAAAAAAATAAAACATATAACTCAAGGTCTTTTCATATATATATAGACAAAAACCAAAATCTAAATAATCTACCATTCAAGTTTTCCTAAAACCAAAATCTACAGCAAAATCAAAAACCAAAAAATCAAAACTAAAATCTGAAAACCAAAAACCTGAAACAAAAAACCAAAAACTAAAATCTAAAAACCAGGCAAACATTCATGGCCACGATTATGAATTTACGATTCTAGTTCTAGGATTTGAGTTTGTGATTTCTGTCTTGATTCGTTGATAGATTATTGTTGTATTGTTTGCTTGTTTCAAACTTTCAATGATTTTAGAACAATGAGAATTTGGGATATATTCTAAAATCAAATGTTCTAAAGTTTTCGTATCATTTCGAAGGAGAAGTGTTTACTTGTTGTCTATCACCTCGCAGATGGATTCTTCATCACCTCCTCACTTGAACAACAATGACGACCTGGGAGTACTCCTGCAAGTGGAAACAAGAGGAAAGAAGTTCCTAGATGTTCAACTAGTTCACTGAAGTCTAAGTCTAAGTTGAAGGAAAAGTCTAAGAAGAAAGTCACCAGCACAAGATCGCCTGCATGGGAGCACTTCACAAAAACAAAAGAGGATGCTAATATATGCTTGTGTAACTACTGCGGTAATAGTTTTGCTTGTGCGACTACTAATGGGACATCTAGCTTGATTAAAAGTCTCACACTCTGCAAGGAACATCTCTCTGTTGAGTAATGCCATTTTAGTTTCAAACCAAACCAGTTGGAATTCAAAGGTTGTTAGAATAGTAAAAGCAGAAAGTGTTGCTAAGCTATGTTGTTTAGAGTCTAGGTAAGGTTAGTGGGATTACTTGAAGTTAGGTGAGTGTCAGGAATAGTTTTTATGCCTTTTGTTTGTATAAGTCGGTAAGAAGACAATGTAAAAGAGAGAATGTTTTTGCAATGAAAAAAAATGAGTTCTAAGGGTCCTTTCTCTGAATATCGATTTCTTTGCAAGGTTACAATGTTTACAAACAAATTACATATGCTCTGTTTCTAAGTAGTTCAACATGGTATCAGAGCTCATGATGATTCATGGAGACTCTTTGAACAAAATGAAGATTGTGAATCAAGAAGATCCGACAAGATGAAGATTGCAAATCAAGAAGATCCGACAAGAAAGAGAACAAAAGTCAGAGAAACCGGTGCAGAGGTTCAAGAATCTCACAAGAACAAGAACAAAAGAGAATACTTGGCTCTGTGAACAAAAGACAAAAAAGAAGACACCAGAAACAGAAAAATAAGAATACAGGCGTCTGAGGAACATGATGAAAAGGAAGAGAATCACATGTTCACTGCAAGACAAGAAGAAGAAGAATCAAGTAAAGAGAATACTTGGCTCATAGAAAGTGGTTGTACAAACCACATGACACCTAATAGGAACATGTTTGTCAAAATCAACACAAACACCTATAAAGGTTGGAAATGGAGCTGTGGTAATGGCAGAAGGAAAATGAGACATCGAAGTAACAAAAAAGAAGGGAAAGAGAATCATAAAAGATGTCTTCTTAGTACCTAAACTTGGAAAGAATCTTCTAAGTGTTCCACAGATGATCACCAACGGCTATAAAGTCATCTTTCAAGGAAGCAACTGCATCATTCACGACAGATCTATAAGAAAAATCGGTGAAGTTCCTATGGTGAATAAAAGCTTTCACATCAAATGACACTCAAATGAAGAAGCTGCGATGGTGGGTGCAGACAAAAGTGCAGAGCTGTGGCACAAAAGACTCGGCCACACAGGATTTACAAATCTGAAGATCATGCAGTCAGAAGGTATGGTCACCGGCTTACCTAAGTTCAAAATAGCTCAAGACCGATGTGAAAGTTGCATTCTCAGCAAGCACAGCCGAGACTCTTTCCCAAAAGAATCCGATTCAAGAGCAACTCAGAAGTTAGAGCTGATTCATAGTGACTTGTATGGACCAATGCAAAACACATCCTTCAGTGGTAGGAGGTATGTACTCACCTACATAGATGATGCTACAAGAATGTTGTGGGTTTACTTCTTAAAGGCTAAGTCAGATGTCTTCAAAACCTTTAAGATATTCAAAAATCTGGTGGAAAATCAAGCCAACTGCAAAATCAAGAGACTCAGAACCGACAGAGGTTCAGAGTATCTGTCCGGTGAATTCACAAAGTTTCTTGAAGAAAATGGAATAGAAAGGCAACTGACTGCTGCTTACTCACCTCTGCAAAATGGAATCTCGGAAAGAAGGAATATGATATATCATGGTTTTTATGGTTTTTAACCATGGTATATGTCTTATTTATAGAGTCTTTTTAGTGTCTTTCGAGTCTTTTGGAGTCTTTACAGGTCCTAGGTACGTTTGGAGCTTAACTGGAGACTTTGGAGCACTTGGGAGCTTAATCAGGATCAAATTCGTCAAGTATGGATTTTGTGCTTTAGTGACGCTCTACACCATGGAGAGTGACGCGCGACACTTGTCAAAGAAATAAGGAAAAAGCGATTTTGTTTCCTATTTGAAGAAGGAGTTGGGCCTAAACGTTTCCAAGGAAGCCCAAAACGTGTCTTAGAGATATATATAGGGTTTTTATTCCCTTTTTACGATTACCTTAGATTTTCTTAGAGAGAGATTTTGGGGAGACAAGTCTGAAACTCTGTTCCGGAGAGAGAAGATTTCGAACCCCTGTTTATTAATCTATTTACTGCTTACTGCAAGCTATTCAATCATGTTTATTGCTTCAATCTCCATGTCTGAGTAGTTTGCTTGTTAGGTTTAGGGTTCTCATAAAGGTTTTCTCTGGATGTTTGATTAATTGATTTAGTTAGGATTCATAATCTATTTAGTTCTTCACCATAGGTTGTTCTTAAAGCTAATTCTGGACTGGCCACCTAGAACTTAGATCTTAGGTTGCTTAATTGACACGAAAGTGTAATTGAATAACTGGAAAGAACCTAGGGTGAGCAAAGTAGCTATTCGCAAAGGAATTTGGTTTAGATACTTTGTGAACATATCAAACTTGAGCATTAAAGCTGGTTTAAATATTTAGGGTTTGCAAAGGAATTTGGAATTCTAGGATTTTAACTTAGATAATTCTCACAACGGAAGTTGGTTAATTATAATTTTGTGATTCGAGTTCAAGAACCGTGCTTAAACCTGAACCCTGATTAATCGATTGTTCTGCATGCATTGATTTCCTGAGAAACGCCCTAAGCCTAATCTCCATCCATCTGAATCTTACAAACCGTTTTTATTGCTGCTTAGTCTAATTCTGTTGCATTGTTATTTATTTACAATATTTCTGCTTAGCGAAATTCAATTTCTAATAGGTTTATTGAGTGAATCTCTCGTCTCTGTGGTTCGACCCCTATTATACTACAATTGCACATCTGTGCTCTTGCAGAGTAGCTTTAGGGATTAAACTTTGAGCAGATCAAGTTTTGGCGCCGTTGCCGGGGACTTGATTTTCGCCATTAAACTTTAGTTCTTGAGTTTCGACTAAGTTTTTCTTAGTGTCGAGCGACACCAGCATTGGTGTCGCGCGACACCCGTTGTTTTTCTTAATTTTATTTTTGCTTTGTTACTTACATTGTTCTTTCTCTTTGTCTCAGAAACTAGCAAAGATGGAGAACGCATTGGCATTGATTCGTGATGATGCTGGAGTCTGGAGAGACCAAGAGGGTCATGTGTGCAATGAGAGAGGTCAGCGACTTGATGGACAGGGTAACATCATCAGGACGCTGGGTGACTACAACAGGCCTGAGCAATTCTATGCAAATCGGTCTGCGATTCGCGCTCCTGCGTTTCAGAGGAATGATTTTGAGCTCAAGCCTGTGTATTACACTCTTGTGGGTCAGCATCCTTTCCATGGCCACTCTCATGAGCACCCTATGGATCACATCGAGAGGTTTGAGGACTTGGTCACCAGCATCAAATACAATGGAGTGTCCAATGATTTTCTCCTCTGCAAGCTGTTTCCTTACTCTCTTGCTGGAGAAGCAGCTAACTGGTTGAAGCAGTTGGAGCCAGGATCACTCACCACTTGGGAAGAGACCAGGAATGCTTTCCTGCACAACTTTTTCGATGATGCTAGGTCTGAGGAGTTGAGGACGAAAATTTCGACATTCTCTCAGAAACCAACTGAAGCGTTCAAAGCTGGTTGGGTGAGATTCAAGTCGTACCAGCGAGATTGCCCTCATCATGGTTTCAGTGATGTTCAGCTGTTGGGTATTTTCTTCAGAGGTGTTGATTAGAGATATCAGATGGCTCTTGATGCTGCAAGCAATGGGAACTTCAACACCAGATACCCAGACGAAGCTGTTGAGCTCATCGAAAACTTGGCATCTAGCAATAGTACAAAGAATGCAGACTATCAGCGAAAGAAGCAGGGTGGAAACATGGATGGATCGCAGATTGCTGAGGTGAAGGCTAAGCTAGACTCTGTGCATAGCCTTCTAGTGGGTAAGAAATCTGTCAGATACCCTGCAGAAGTTCAGAATTTCGGACCAGATGAAGCACTTGAGGAAGAGGATGTTAACTTCATTAATGGAGCTGGATTTCAGGGTCAGAGATTTGGTACTCAGCAAGGGAACACGAATTACAATGGAAATATTCAGAGGAGTAGCTTCACAGGTAATCAGAACTCTTCTGGTTACAGCTTCAAACCTCAGTACCAGACATCCTACTCCATCAACAGTTTTTCAAGGAACTATGGTTCTCCTCCTCCTCAAACTCCAGATAATGAGGTGAAATCTATGCTGGAACAGATCTTGGAAGGTCAGCAGAAGATGACTGTGGATTTCAATGGGAAGTTTGATGCTCTGTATCTGGATCTGAATGGAAAAATTGAAGTTCTGAACACTCATGTCAAGAAGCTTGATACTCAGGTTGCTCAGACTGCAGAGTCTGTAAAAAGGCAAGAAGGATTCTTTCCTGGGAAGACTGATACCAATCCTAGGCATTACTGCAGTGCCATCTCGTTAAGGAGTGGTAAGAAGTTGACTCCTGTGCTTAAAAAGGGTGTTTCTGAGGATGAAATCGTGGAGTTAGACGAATCTGAAGAAAATTTTGAAGTTGCAGAGCCGGTGTCGAGCGACACCACAACCAGTGTCGCGCGTCACCAATTGCAGAGCAAAGCTGATATTGCTCAAAGCCCGAAATCTGCTGAGGAAAAGGTTTAAAAACCTAAGGTTCCTTACCCAAGGAGTCCTAGGAAGTCCAAGCAGGAGTTAGATGATGCCAGATGCAAGGCTTTGATGGAGAAGGTTGTGATTGAGATTCCTTTGGTTGATGCTGTGAAGATTGCTCCTACTCTCAGACACTATGTGAAGAGGATGGTGACTAATAATCTGAGTCATGAGGAAGGAGTGATGATGATTTCTGAACAGGTCAGTGTTGTGATTCAGAATAAGATTCCAGAGAAACTCTCGGACCCAGGAAACTTTGTTTTGGACTGCTCTATCTTCTCAAAGAGGTTCAAGAGATCGCTGTGTGATCTTGGTTCGAGTGTTAACCTAATGCCATACTCTGTAGCTGTTAGCCTTGGGATGACTGACTTCAAGCCAACTAAGATCTCTCTAATCCTAGCAGATCAATCTAAAAGAATCCCAAAAGGTGTCTTGGAGGATGTTCCGATTAAAGTTGGTGAGTGCATAATTCCTACGGATTTCGTGGTTCTAGAATATGGAGAGGAACCCAAAGATCCTCTTATCTTGGGAAGATCGTTTTAAGCTACAGCTAGAGCAGTAATTGATGTCAAGCATGGTAACCTTGATCTCCACCTGGGAGATACCATCATGACTTTCAAGATGGAGAAGCTGAAGGATCCCAACATAGATGGTCAGACATTCCAAGTCAGTGCAATACCTGAAGTGATAGTTGGAGATCAGAACGTGTTTGATGCTGAGAAGGTGAGAGATCAACCTGAGTTCACGAAAATGTCTATAGAACCAGTGACTGTTGTTGATCAGGAAGCTCCAAACATTGCACTCCATCCATCTCCACCAAAGCAAAGGTACGCACCTCTTGAGCCTAAGCCTAATTCTCGTGATATCATTGGAACTGATTCAAAGGATGCAGGCTCTGTCTCACGACGCAAGCTACGAGATTATCGTAGAGCACTTGGTTTTTTGTTTGATGATATTGCAGGCAATAGGTTGAAGCCACCCAAACACAGATCTCATCCTGGTGCTATTCCTGCATTCCTTGGACGACCTCATGCGCAAAACGCTTACACACCACCATGGATGAGACGAATTTCACAGAGGCACTCTTTGCCACTGTCTGATCCACCAGATGCATAGTCTATCCATAGTCAAGCTAATGACTTAAAACAAGCGCTTGGTGGAAGGCAATCCACTGGTAAGTCTGTAAATAAGTCTTTTGTTTCAGTGATTTTTGTTTTTCTTTTCGTGTTTTAGGTGAAACAGGGCTGGTGTCGAGCGACACCATACTCGGTGTCGCCTGTCACTTGATTTTCTACCTTTATCAAAAAAAAAAAAAAAATTAGGAAATCAGATAACCGGAGTCGAACCAGAAATTCGGATGGATCTGCTGCAATTCGGTACGAGGAGAACAAGTGTCGCACGACACTATCATCAGTGTCGCGCGACACCATCATTGCAGCCAGGTAAGTTCTTCGTTTTTCCTGCGTTTCTCTGTTTCTTTTCTTTTGTTTCACCAACTTCGGACTCGATAACACTGGGGACAGTGTTATTCAAGTCTGGGGGAGGTAGTTGCTGACATTGTGTTTGTTTTTCTTAAGAGTCAGTTGTGTCAAAATGTTTTTGAGTCAAAACCTGTTGGAGATCATGATGCTTTTCCTGGAATTATTGTGCTGACCTTTCACCTAAGTGACCACTGCTGCAGATTCAGTCTAGATCCGACTAATGAAAAATCCAAAGGCTGATCAGCTGACTAGAGGCGTCCATGTTTCCAACAGAATCCACTAACCTGAGCTAAGTACTGAACTTCACTTTTAACTCGCTGATGTGACTAATGCCTTAGAGCTTGATTCCTCGTTCGTACTTGATCAATGAAAGCATGTGTGAAATTTAATGAAGTGATTTCTCTCCCTTATGACGAGCCAAGAAAGTAAGAAAAAGGGCAAAAAGATTGAGATGACTTTCGCTTAGGAGTGAAGGGCTAGGAATGTTTCCAATGATCCCATTATTTCATTTCTAAGTTGGAATGATCACACAAAGGAAGGAAGTGAGGGGTAGGAATGTTTCCCATGACCCCACTATTCGCTGAAAACCTTTGATACAAGGTAAGGGGACAACTCGGGGACTCGATGGCAAACACCATCAGTACTCGCAGCTTTACCCTTATCGAGTATATGCCATAAAAAAATGATGATGAGTGTGCGAAAAGAATAAGTCTGGGGGAGAGAAAAGTACCAAAGTGTGTATGACTGATTTGCTTGAGTATAGTACGGGAAAGAATCTAGAAAGTTCTTGGCATCTGAATCATCAGTGAGATCCAGCGATGAAGGTTTATGGACCATGTTGTGAAATTTTGGACTTAATCTGGAAAGTTGTGAATGTCTACGGAGAAGTACATGGTGGTTCGATTTGGAATGATGAAGCAGTAGTTGAGTTGCAGGCAATTGGTCAAGGGCGATGTTCCAATGAAAGGTTGAGTCTCTGTGTTTTCAAACTTCTTTCTCTTGTTTGGTGTTATGTTTGCTTGAGGGCAAGCAAATGCTAAGTCTGGGGGAGTTGATATATCATGGTTTTTATGGTTTTTAACCATGGTATAAGTCTTATTTATAGAGTCTTTTTAGTGTCTTTCGAGTCTTTTGGAGTCTTTACAGGTCTTAGGTACGTTTGGAGCTTAACTGGAGACTTTGGAGCACTTGGGAGCTTAATCAGGATCAAATTCGTCAAGTATGGATTTTGTGCTTTAGTGACGCTCGACACCATGGAGAGTGACGCGCGACACTTGTCAAAGAAATAAGGAAAAAGCGATTTTGTTTCCTATTTGAAGAAGGAGTTGGGCCTAAACGTTTCCAAGGAAGCCCAAAACGTGTCTTAGAGATATATATAGGGTTTTTATTCCCTTTTTACGATTACCTTAGATTTTCTTAGAGAGAGATTTTGGGGAGACAAGTCTGAAACTCTGTTCCGGAGAGAGAAGATTTTGAACCCCTGTTTATTAATCTATTTACTGCTTACTGCAAGCTATTCAATCATGTTTATTGCTTCAATCTCCATGTCTGAGTAGTTTGCTTGTTAGGTTTAGGGTTCTCATAAAGGTTTTCTCTGGATGTTTGATTAATTGATTTAGTTAGGATTCATAATCTATTTAGTTCTTCACCATAGGTTGTTCTTAAAGCTAATTCTGGACTGGCCACCTAGAACTTAGATCTTAGGTTGCTTAATTGACACGGAAGTGTAATTGAATAACTGGAAAGAACCTAGGGTGAGCAAAGTAGCTATTCGCAAAGGAATTTGGTTTAGATACTTTGTGAACATATCGAACTTGAGCATTAAAGCTGGTTTAAATATTTAGGGTTTGCAAAGGAATTTGGAATTCTAGGATTTTAACTTAGATAATTCTCACAACGGAAGTTGGTTAATTATAATTTTGTGATTCGAGTTCAAGAACCGTGCTTAAACCTGAACCCTGATTAATCGATTGTTCTGCATGCATTGATTTCCTGAGAAACGCCCTAAGCCTAATCTCCATCCATCTGAATCTTACAAACCGTTTTTATTGCTGCTTAGTCTAATTCTGTTGCATTGTTATTTATTTACAATATTTCTGCTTAGCGTAATTCAATTTCTAATAGGTTTATTGAGCGAATCTCTCGTCTCTGTGGTTCGACCCCTATTATACTACAATTGCACATCTGTGCTCTTGCAGAGTAGCTTTAGGGATTAAACTTTGAGCAGATCAGAATAGAAGCTTAATAGAGATGGCTAAAACAATGGTTAAAGCTAAAGGTTTACCCTTAAAATTCTGGGCAGAAGCGGTCTACAATGCAGAATATGTTCAAACAGAACACCAATAAGAGCTCTAAAAAGAAAAACTCTCCTTGAAGCATGGAATGGTACCAAACCAGGAGTAAGCCATATGAAAGTATTCGGCTGCCTCTGCTACGTTCATATCCCAGACGAGAAAAGAACGAAGTGGGATGATAAGTCTAGAAGAGGAATATTTGTTGGTTACAGCTCTCAAACAAAAGGGTACAGAGTATATCTCCTGGAAGACAATAAGATAGACATCTCTAGAGACGTCATATTCGATGAAGATAACAAGTGGGACTGGAGCAACAAAGAAGTGGTAAAGGATCAGAACGTATCTCTTGAAGCCGAAACTGATAATGAAAACACTGAAACTGGAGAAGCAGAACAAAGCAACTATAATGAACCTGTAAATGAAAGCCTTGCTCCCATCAATACAAATCACATAAGTCCAGGAGGAAGCTCAAGTCGAGTGGATTACCATGAAACCTCTGCTCCAGTTTCAAGGCATGAAACAATCAGACTGCTTCTTGATGTGGCTGCCCAAAAGAGATGGAGATTGTTTCAACACGACGTTAAGTCTGCTTTTCTGAATGGAAGATTAGATGAAGAGATATATGCTGAACAGCCTCTTGGTTTTGAAAGAAAAGGGAAGGAAGAACATGTTCTGATGTTGCATAAAGCTCTCTACGGTTTAAAACAAGCTCAAAGAGCTTGGTACAGCAGAATTGACGAGTTTTTCAAAAGAGAAAACTTCAGGAGAAGTGACAATGATCATGCTCTATACACCAAAGAAGACAATGGGAAGTTACTGGTTGTGTGCATCTATGTAGATGACCTTATTGTCATAGGAGATGATGAAAGTATGGTGAATGAGTTCAAAGCTGCAATGAAGAACGAGTTCGAGATGTCAGACTTGGGGTTACTGAACTATTTCCTTGGAATGAAAATTGTTCAAAGTCAAAAAGGTATATTCCTGTCTCAAGAATGCTATGCTAAGAAGCTGTTAAAGAAATTTAACATGTATGAATGCAAGATCATGAGTACTCTTCTTATCACACCGCGTAAGAACCAGAATGAAGAATATGATCTTGCCAATAGCAGTGTCTACAGAAGCTTAGTAGGAGGATTGGTGTATCTAACTGCCATTAGACCCGACCTGATGTTTGCTGCTTCATACCTGTCCAGATATTTGAAAGAACCAAAAGTTTCTCACCTTAAGGATGCTAAAAGAGTTCTGAGATATATCAAAGGAACAATTGATATGGGGCTAATGTTCAGGGCTGTGAGGGAATCCAAATTGATTGGTCACTCGGATAGTGACTGGGGTGGATGCCAAAAGGATCTATAATCTACAACAGGCTATTGTTTCAGCATAGGATCAGCTGTTTTTACTTGGCAAACCAGCAAGCAAGATACTGTCGCACAGTCAACCCCTGAAGCAGAGTATATGGCTCTGTGTGCTGCTTCAAACCAAACAACTTGGTTGAAACGACTACTTGAAGATCTAAGGGTTCATACTCCAGTGGGAGTACCCATTTACTGTGACAGCCAGTCAGAAATAGCGATCAGAAAGAACCCTGTTCAGCATAGAAGGACTAAGCACATCCAAATCAAATATCATGTTGTGAGAGATTATGAGAAGAATGGGGAGATTCAGCTGCATTACTGCAAAGGTGAAGAACAACTAGCTGATATCTTAACTAAAGCGTTGGGGGGTCAGAGTTTTGAAAGATTTCGCATCAAGCTCGGTTTGATTGATA